GCTTGAGCCCAGGAGTTTGAGGTCGCTGTGAGCTAGGCTGACGCCACGGCACTCACTCTAGCCCGGGCAAAAGAGTGAGACTTTGTCTAAAAAAAAAAAAAAAAAAATTAAGAAGACAACTATTTTAAATAACTTTTGGTAAAAGGAGAAAGATGACTTTGCATAAAGTAAACACTTGACTATAATAAACACTTTAAGAAAGTGGTTAATAAAGGTACTGATCTGTTAAGGGATTTCCAAAAATTCAATGGGAAGTAATTTCAAATGGTTTTATCCTTCTTATACCAGCAACATGAACTTCACTTACTCTTCTGTCACACTCAATCCCCTAAGGAGCTCATCTATTAATAATTGTAAATAAAACCTCTACAGATCATTCCTTACCTATACTTTCAGGACAAAAGTGTCCCAACTATCAGATCAACCTCAAATTCAACAGACATAAAGCTAGACTCATCTTTCCCCCACACAAGATTTTGCTGTAATCTTGAGTCATCAGAGATATCTTAGATTCAATCATAACTCCTTCTGTATTATCAACCACAAAGATTCTTTTCCTTTATGATATCCTGCCTGGCCTGCTCATTTTCAAGGGCCATCACCTTGGCATAGGTGATATGCAAACACCTGAATGCCTCAGGCCTGGGCTATGTCCTCGGGCTGCTGAATGTCTTCATTTCCCTCATCCAATCCGTTATCTTGTGGCCAACTAAATTCCTCAAAGTCCAAACTCTTCTTACATGCTCAAATTTTTATTATTCCCCAACACAAACTCTGCAATATTATGGCCACTTCAGGTTCAGAGTTCAATTACGTTTCTAACCCACCCTTGTTTTTATTTTAAGGAAAGCAAAGATATATTGTCAAGCAACTAGGCTACAGAAAAACAGACGAAGTCAACTCTGAAACAAGGCTCCACATGCTCCATATGGTCACCACACCAGGCTCTCTTCGGTTGTGTGGGTAAACAATGCCCTATTCCTCATCCTGTGTAAGGACCTGCGTACAATATTATAATACTAGCTGGATTCTTCGGGGGAAATATTCAGTTTTATTTTGATCATTTGGAAAGAGGTAAATTAAGTTTTAACAATATTCTTACTAATCTGTGAGACTTTTCATACACATCTCATGTCAGAAAAAAATGTTAAATCACATGCTCAAATATTTAGCAACGAAACATGGTCAGCATAACCATAAGTAAGTAGTGGGAGATTTGGTTAAAATACTGTACTATACAGGCTGTGGAGGACAGTAGTCCTAACCAGATGAGTCAGCTCTGCTTCTTAAAGTGGGTGGTGAATTCATGGTCATAACAATCGTAGGACATCTCTTAATGGTGTAGGCAACAGTCTCCAAAAATCTGTATACTCAAACGGCACTCTGCGTGAGCAATGTGCAAACACACAGATATTTGCTGCATACAATTGCACTGCTCTTCTGTGTCTGTTATAATAAGATAGGCACAAGAGATGCCATGACAGTGGCTTACACCTGGCTAAACCCTGGAAAGCAATTCTAGCTAATAATGTGTTATAAGAACTTCAGATACATAATTTTTTAAAACTGAATGGAAACATGCATGAAGTTACATGGTCCCTATCACTAGTGGGATTCAAACGGAGGCTGGATACACATTATGGGGCTTCTTTTTTTTTTTTTTTTTTTTTGAGACCGAGTCTCACTCTCTTGCCTGGGGCGAGTGCCGTGGCATCATCCTAGCTCACAGCAACCTCAAACTCCTGGGCTCAAGCAATCCTACTGTCTCAGCCTCCCAAGTAGCTGGGACTACAGGAACGCGCCACCATGCCCGGCTAATTTTTTCTACATGTATTTTTAGCTGTCCAATTAATTTCTTTCCATTTTTTGGTAGAGACGGGGGTCTCACTCTTGCTCAGGCTGGTCTCGAACTCCTGAGCTCAGAACGATCAGCCCGCCTCGGCCTCCCAGAGTGCTAGGATTACAGGCGTGAGCCACCGTGCCCGGCCTATGGGGCTTCTTAAAAGAGATTCAAACATCAGTTTAGTGTGACATGGGGATCAGACGACCATTAAGGTCCCTTCTAATTATGACAATCTAGATTTCGATGAATATTATCAAGACATACTCGATTGAATTTATATATGTGTGGCATATCTCCCATCCAAGTACTAAACAGGCCCCATCCTACTTAGCTTTGGAGATCAGAAGAAATCGGTTGTGTTCAGGGAGGTATGGCCATAGACAATATGTGGCATATCTCTACATCTTATACAACCTGAAATCTAAAGCCAGATAAAGAAGCAGAAAAGAAAAATTATTTCTTTTTTCATATAGTCTTTAGGTATAAGCAAAAAAAAAAGATGGGAGGGACATTTGCTTGGAGATGTCAAATTGTTGCTTATCTATGCAACCATAGATAAGCCTATCTAACAGTGTCTCTCAACAAAGACCTCTTTTGAGTCTCAAAAGAATTTTTGATTACCTACCCCACCTCTAAAGCTTTATTTTTATTATCTGTTGATTTTCAGAGTACATTTTAACTTAAGAGTCTAAGATGTCTTACATGAGCATTCCCTCGCTAGTATCTCTGGAGGTGGGGGTGGGGAGTGGGGTGAGGTGGTATGGGATGGTCATTATCGCAAAGATTGGAAATCTCTCGTCCAGTTACTATTCAATGTATGGCATGATCTGGAACAAGAGAACCTTAACTTTCATTCATATTTTTGAATTAACATGGTATTTTCCCAAATTATACCTCTGGGGAACAAGGGAGCCAATGGTGTGATGAAAGAGTATTCCCTTTATGCGTGCTTAATCATGTGACACTGGAACAATGCAGGTGGAGGTCCTTGGTGACTATAAATATAAACAATATAAGCAATGAAGAATCCTCCTTAAACACTACCATACTATACTACCTCCCCTCCAACTGATTTAACTGATCTTTTCAACCTACTAACATTATTGCAGTTTGTAAATGCTTGTTTAATTTTCCAAGTCACTACAGGATTTTGAAGAAACCATTTCTTGTTTCAAATGCAAAATATGAATTATAATTTTGATCGAATATTTACTAATAAATTCAAAATCAAGAGAAAATAATTTTACAAGATGTATTATTATGTACAAAAAATGGAAAAAATTATTTTGTAAAATACCATATTTTAGCATATGTGGATATGTGTATGCTTGCTTTTCTACTCATAAAACTCTCCTTAGCTCAATGTAGTACCGTTCACTGGGCCTACAAAAAGCATAAAGTTGTCCTTGAAATAGCTCATGTTTACAAGGGTAAGAAAACATTCATTTATAACAACAACAAAAAAAGTTCACTACAAACAAAACCAAAAGCCACTATGATTCTATAGTGAGGCACTTTAAGAATTCCCAAGCTTTCCTACCCTCCTCCCTCAAGAGGTACACAAATGAAAAAAGACTCACTACTGCTCAGGGTCCAGAGGCCTAAATATCTCCTTGAGGTTTTCAACTCTCTTCTTCAATCCAGAACTTTGATTTTAAATGCACAGCCCAGAGAGCTTAAAACTACCAAAATATTTCATTGCATATGACTGGCAGCTTGATCTTGTATGGGGAAACCTCTCAGTTACAAATCTGAACATTTATCCCTGCCATAAGCTAGAACAGAGGCATCAATGAAGTGAAATTAGTGATAAAAGGAAGTAATTTTTACACTGCAGTGATCTATGGATAGGATTTAGAAGTCATAACTAACCCAATTTGAATCCTGGCTCTCCTACTAACTAGCTGTATGACTTTGGGCTACTTAATTTTAGCCTTCCTGGGCCTTAGATACCATATCTATAAAATAGGGACAATAATAGTAGTTACTTCGAAGGGCTGCTGTAAGGATTATATAATATATTCAAAGCACTCAGCACAACACCACGCTTTCAGTAAATGTTAGCTATTTTTAATATTATTTCTGTAAGTTGGGTGGAAAACCTCTAAAGTAGTTCTCAAGCCCATTTCGCTGAGCATTGAAGGGTTTGATCACTGCAATCTTACTTTTAACGCTTTTTAATTTCTGCAGTGGACTATACATCAGTGGATTTGCACTGTCCAATAACAGGTGGTTTCTGAGCACTAGAATTGTATCTAGTCAGAATTGAGAAGTGCTGTTAAGTGTAAAATACACATCATATTTCCAAGATTTAATACGAAAAAAAGAATATAAAACACCCCAATTTTTAAATATTTGAGAGGTGTTGAAATGATAATATTTTGGACCTATTGGGTTAAATGAAACGTATAATTAAAATTAATTTCACGTTTTTCTTTTTTTAATGTGGTCACCAGAAAACTGAAAATTACAGAAGTGGCTAGCATTATATTTTCACTGGACTTAAGTAGAACCTTGCTGCTTACAATGTGGACAGACACCACCTGGGATTTTATTAGAAATGCAGATTCTCAGATCCAGGCTCAAACCTACAGAATCAGTATGTGCAGTTTTAACATGATCCTGACGTGATTCTTACAGAGTATTCCGCTGGTTAGCTTAACGAAGAGGGCAATCTGGCCCAAAAGCCACATAAATGCGAATACGAGTGCTTTAGGTAACTGCTTTCCGAAAAAGAAACGTGAAGGGGAAGAAAGACGTGGCAGCGAAGGAGTACTAGAGAAAGAAAAAGAAATTCCAATTATAGGAACAAAAATAAGCGGGGGGGACGGGGGGGAATCCAACATGGGAGATTAAGTAGAAAGGATCTTTCAGACCTTTGCCTTCATAAACGTGGCGGGATATGCAAACTAACATAAAACCTACAACCCAAACCTGCAAAGGGCCAGGAAATCGTCCGTCAAATCTGGTCTTACCCGCCCCTCAGCGGCCTCAGTTAAGCTAGGCCCGGGCAAGAACGGGTCTCAGGTTGGGATGCAACGCGAAACACCCTCCTCCCCGGGGCCGGACGGTTCCCTGATGCGTCTCCCGATCTTCGCCCAAACTCCTGTTGCCCAAGACACACAACGCGTCTCCCCGGGCTCACCTGCCTCTGAGCTGCCCCCACGGCTTGAGCCTTCGCCACCGCCACCTTCGAGTCCTTCCGCAGAGAACCCGCCCCCTCAGCCCAGGCGCTGCCCCCATTGGTCAGGCCGCTCGTCAGTCCGTGCGGCGGGGTCGGCCTCCTGGAGGCTGTGGAGAACGCCATAGCAACCGACCTCGGAACTACTCCTCCCGGTATGCTCCGCTCGAAAAAAGACGAGGCACCGCCCCACGGCGACCGATAAATGGGGCGAAGTTGGAGTCCCCTAGGATGGGTTCCGTTTTATGCAGATTTCAGCTAAAGGCCACACCCTTCCTCATTCCAACCGAATACCTTACCACCTTCCTATTCGTCTCCACATTGTTCTTTCCTTTAAAACCTTCCGTAACTAAGTTAGGTGAATATATCCTATCTAGTGCCTCGCACGGCAACGGGCAGATGCACTGAAATTGTAGAACAAAAATCACCAAAATCCACGATAAGGAAACTCCAGACCAGAAACCTCCCGTTACGCCTCATAGGGGGTGGATAAAAGGGGGGAGGGGGAGTTCTACTCCCGCCCCCTCCGCGCCTTCTGATTGGCTTATTTGTCTGTCACTCTGAGTTTTTAGTCTCCCCCCATTTTCGTTCCGCCGGTGAGCGGGGCCAGCAGCAGGGGGCGGTGAGGAGGTACAGGTCCTTCCTTCGGATTGGCAGGCTGTTGTCCCCACCCACCGATGGGCGGAGACGGAGGGGAGACGGGGGCGGGGGGGAGGCAGCGGAGGGAGATGAGGAGATAGGCGGGAGCGAGGGAGCTAGGGAGGGAGCGACGGAGGTAGAGAAGAGTGGAGAAGCAAGGGGCGGGAGCGCAGCTTGGTTGCTCCGTAGTACGGCGGCTCGCGAGGCAGAATCCCGAGCGGGCACGGGGACGGACGGAGAGGCGGGCGGGGATGGTGTGCGGGGCTGCGGCTCCTGCGTCCCTCCCCGCGGCGTGTGAGCTGCATTGATTTGTCCCTGGGGCGGCAGCGCGGACCCGCCCGGAGATGAGGTGAGGAGTGGGATGGACGGTGGCGGCCCGGGCGCAGCGGCGGGGGTCGGCGCGGGGGTCGGCGCGATGGCCGCCCGGGGCGCCCGTCTGCCCGGCCGCCCTTCACCCCGTGCCGCGCGCGCGGGTGGCGCGGCCGCCGCCCGCCTCGTCCTTCCCCTCCTCCCGGGGCCGGCGGCGGGGCGGCCGGCTGACCGGCGCCGGGAGGCCGTGGGACGGGCTCGGGGCTGAACGGGCGTCTGCACCCCGGCCCGCCGCGCGGGCTCGCTCCCTTCCGATGGGGACTCCGGGGGTGGACGGCTCTTCCAGGGCTGACCTCGCCGCCCTCGGCCACCGGAGTGTGGCGGGCCGGCCCAACCTCGTCCGTCTCCCGGGAGCCCGAGCTCGCGGGGAGCGGCAGCGCGCCGCCTGCCTCTCCCCAGCCTGGAGCCTCGGCTCATCCCTTTTTCTTCTCTCTCGCGTGCCTGCAAAATCCCTGTCAGTGAAGGGCAGTCAATGCCGTTTGGCCCTAAGCGGTGCGCCCGGCCGCCTGTGATGGTATTTAACAGAAAGCGGCTCCCCTCGCCCTGTGACCGCGTCCGCGGGGTCTGCCGCTTCTCTTTCCCTTCTCGCACCGACGCGGTTTCCAGTGTGGACCCGAGGCACGATTGCGGTCTCTCGCTGGAACGAGGACATGTACTCAGCATTCCCAAGGAAAGGAAAGCGACGAGGAATAGGCTGCACCTTTCTTCATTTCTATTGCTTTTGGATTAGAAGACAACTTCGTAGATTACATCTCTCCTACGGGCAATCAATCTTTTGTTGTGATTCACACTAAAGGAGGCTTTTGCTTTTGAAGAAATAGATTAGCAGTTTTTCTGTTGAGTTGGAGGGTGTGGGGATTTTTGGTAGCCTCTTCAATATGAAAGTTTCCTTTAGAACTTTGTCATCATCGGTGCTAATCTAAAGGCAGCACCAGCCTGAACATTTCAATATATACAGACACCGGCCAGATGCGTTTCTTTGTGCGTGTCTATTGGCATCCTTCTCGTGGCTGTTCCCGTGGTCAGAACGTACAGATAATAAAAACAAGGCCAATAAAAAGGATAGATAATAAAAGCAAATACCGTACAAACAAATGCATCTGGAAAGTCTCAATTCTGTCAGCGGGGAGGCAGTTTTACTAATCCCGTTGAACGGATGAAGAGAAAGGCACAGAGATCTCATGATTATGTAGTGGACCGGATGTGAGGGCAGGAACCAGCAGGCCAGCTGGTTTGCATGGTGCCACTCTAAACCCTCCAAATAGGAGGACTGTATTTGTTGGGATACCTTTATTTTTAGATGACTTTAAGGTTGAGAGTTCAAAAGCTTAAACACCCTTCATAGTTATTGTTTCTATTTGTCTATCTCTGAGAGCAAAATATTATGTTTTTGTTATATATTTTTTTACTAGTTGGCTTGAAACATTTATATCGTTTTAATGGGAGTTTGCTTATAACTAAAAACATTAAAACTATATGTGTAGAAGAGAAATTCTTTCTGGAGGAAGGTTTGTAAAGAACCCAGGAACTTTTAAATTATCTAAATGAAGAAATGAGGGACACTAATTTGGTGATGGTGTGAAAATTATTTTAAACACCTCTAAGTAGTCCAGTAAGGATCATTTCTGATAGTACATTTAAAGAAATTGGAATTTCATTCTCTCAGAATGTTATCTCTCTGAAGCACTTTGGAGAATAAGAAAAAAGAAAGAATGTATCTGTTGAAATTGCTGAGGCACATGGCACCTTCACAAAACTCTATTATTATTCTGCCTGAGAGAGGAAATAAACAAAATTTTAATGTACTTTGGAACCCTGTGGATTGTTCAGATACTAAGCATTGTGAAATAGGGCATAAAACGAGTGGTAGCAAGTTAGTTCCCTGAAATGTTTGTCCCTCTTAGCATTTTTTTTTTTTCCTTGCAGTTGACTCACAATTTGCTTTTTCTTAATGTTTATCTCTCATACTGGTAGTAGAACTCTGCTTGAGTTTATCTTTTCCCCGAATGCCTAGACTGGGCCAAACTCTCAAAGCTGTAAGAGATTAAGGAGGAGGTGCTGGTAAATTCCTCTACTCTTACTCATCTTTTTAATTTGCTAAATTTAAGAGTTATGGAGAATTAATTACATGAAGGTTGGGTTTATATTATTCACCTCAAATTCCTCTGCCATAGAGATTTTTCCTTCTAAATGATCATTCTCTTCTGAATGGCTCCACTTACTGGTTGGGTTTCTCAAAGTCTGGACCTCTGATCACTTACATAACCATTAATTGAGGTATTTGTTAAAAATACGGGTTTCTGTCACTTCACCTCAGAATCAGATAACTGGAGGTAGGGCTCTGGAATTGGTATTTTCAACAAGTGCTTCAGGAATTTCTCCTGCACAGGAAAATTGGAGAGCCACTGGCATTGTGCTTTTTCCCTGACCATGTCCTGGGGCTAGCTCCTGAAGTTGATAGCAACTGTTTGAAATGGCAGAATAAGTTTTATACCTTAGGCTGCTAATTAAAAAGTATTGGCTATGACCTTCAGATATGTAATTGTACCCCTAATATATGTTTTGGAAGTGCAGAGACTTTGGTTTAGCAATTTATCCCCAGTGCCTAAAATAGTGCCTGGAGGACATTGATAAAATGTTTGTTGAGTGATTGTATTGAGGCCAATTTTTTAAACCTTTACTTGTCCAATTAATCTTATCACTTAGCAATCACTGATTTTGTAAATTAGGAGCCACAGGCACTATACTTCAGCCACTTCTGTAAGTTTGGTTAGTTTTGGAAGGAGAGAGCTTTTCTCAGGTATAGCATGCTCAAGGTGATAAGCTGGAAAGAAGACTCCTAGCAAAATATTTGCTTAGAGACTCAAAATATGAGTTTAAGTCACAGTGTAGTGGAAAATCATTTTATTATCATTATATCAAAATACCATTTTATAAGCTACGATAAGTCCAACATACTGCTATAAAAATTGGTTTCTAAAAATATAGAAAATTGGTATATTTTCCAATTTTACTTTTCATACTAATAAAATTTGACCTTCACTTCCTTTTTTCAAGAGTCCACCACAGGGCACCATAAATAACAGGTTCTTATTATGTAGTTAACAGTGCTGGATAGCTAAGAGCATAAACTCTGGGGAAAGTTGGATTTGACCACACATAGTCTGTGAGTTTGATCTAACTTCTCAATGCCTCAGTTTTCTCAGCTGAAAATGGAAATAATGGTAGTAGATAAAGTTTAAATACTTCTAATTGTTTTCATAAGTTTTTGAGATACATCTATTTAGTAAATGGTGGTTATGAAGATGATAAAGAATTGGGATGTATAAAAATGTATAAAACTCAAAAGCTAAACCATTTAATTTTTGAACCACTGTATTTTATGGTAGTAAGTAGACATCTATTACTTAAAAGTCTCTTACTAATTTCTTGGTACTAAGTTTATATAATTTTTTTAGTTGGCTAACTAGACCGAACATTAAAAGTATTTAATAAATTACCAAATATGTAAATACAAGTTTTAAAAATAAAGATAAATCTTGCAATCACTTTTTGCTTAACTTTATTATTTTAGAATCAATCAGATAATCAGTTTATGATGATCAGCCAATATCTCTTGCATTTAAAAAACTAACTGCAGGTTTATGGTGGAAAAATTTAAATACAGAAAAGTAAAAGGTAGAAAGCTATAAAATACCTGTAAGTCTACTACCTGCATATGTATCTCTAAACCCTTTTTTTGTGTGTGTGCATATAGCTATTGATAAACAGTTTTTGGTAACAAAGATGGGATCCTCTTATACATATGGTTGTTTTCCAACTTGGTTTTTTTTTTGCTTAACATCTTATTATGGGTGTCTTCCCATGGCTATGTTGTCAGTTATAAGTTTCAGAAACTGAGTAATATTCCATTTTATGGATTTGTGATAATTTAATCAATTTATTTTTATTAGACATTAGTTTGTTTCTTCTTTCCCTCCACTGTTATCCATGACCCTTCAGTGACTATCGTTCTACATATGCCTCTATATTTACTTGTGAGATTATTTTACTTAGGATAAATTTCTAGAAGTGGAATTGCAGGATCAAAGGCTATGCTAAGTTTTAAGATTGTTGATACTTATTTCCAATTTGCCATTTAGAAAGATTGTAGCAATTTATACTTTGACTATGGTATAATATGAGAGTTCTTGTCTTCCCTTCCCCCCACTCCCCTTTTTTGGAGTGACTTAACTGGTGACAAACATAATGAATTTTTTCTTTAAGGAAGAATAATGGGATGTTAGTATAATGTGTTCAGTGGTGTGATATAGAAAGTTCAAAAACTCATGCACCTGTAATAGTGATAGCTAACATTTATTAAGTCCTTTTGCAGCATTCTGTATATGTTAACTTACTTAACCTTCCCAAAAACTCTCATCTTACAGAGATGCCTTAGAAACTGAGGTACTAGTAGTTAGAGAGCCAGCAAAGTGGCTGCAGATTTTTACCTATAGAGTCCAAAATTCTTAGCCTATTTTCTGGACATGTTTTATAGCATTTGGATACTTTTACATTCTTATTAATGAATGAATGAATGAATGAGGCTGGGTCTCACTATGTTGCCCAGGCTTGCCTCAAGCTCCTGGGCTCAAGCAATCCTCCTTACTCAGCCTGCTGAGTAGCTGGGATTACAGGCTTGTGCTATTGCACCTGGCACTTTTTACATTCTTGCTTTCTGTTGTACAGTAACTTAGAGGTTTCCTGGCGTGTATTAGTGTATAAATTAGGGGGTGGGACACAAATCTGAATCCCTTTCATTGAAGAGTTGGTTGCATAAGTTAGCTCAGAAATAAGCCTCATCAACTGCCTTAGCAGCATTCATCCCTCAAAGCAGTCTTGCTATCCTTTATTCTGTAGTGGTTTTGCTAAAGTACCCCCGCATGAAAAACAAGATTAGAGTCCTAGAGAAGACTAGTAAAATTTGAAAAGGCAGTTCGCTTGTGGTGTGGACTTGGCTTAGAACCACAAGACTCTATAGAAGTGTGTTGAGTGGGATAGCTGGGAGTCTGGCCAGATGGTTCCATGTTGGCCAGTTTGGAGATTGGAAGTGGCCTGTGGAAGTTCACTTCAGGAATGCAAAGTCTCAGTGTAGAGAGATCTTACAGGTCCACTGGGAGATCATTAAAAAGTAAACAAAATCTTTTATTAATAAATGTGACAGAATATCATTGAAGTTTTGTTACTAAAGTTTGTAGCTCTCTAACTATGTGAATATAAACAAGTTAATCTATTTGAATTCATCATTGCTTTTTTAACCTTTTTCTAGTAGAATTAATGATAGATATCTTGCCTTTGTAGCTTGCTGCCCAGAGAAAACGTTGGTGAAATTGTTTTGGCTTCAGCTCTCTGGCCTGAATTTGCCTGTGCTGCCTAGCTAGGTAGGACTTTTGTGGCTCAGTTTTCAGTCTGTCACCAAAACTGCTCTCGTGTGGTGTGGCTCTACCTGGCCACATGGGAGTGGTACTGAGTGCATTTCACTTCATTGAGTGCTGGAGCCAGGAGTTGAACTGAGGGATGTGGTAGAGTTTTGGATTCAACTGAATTTGAATGTGAAAACAACAAGGTCATAGCAGGTGGTCAAAGTTTTATCCTTGGTGGTTAAAATTAAACACCCTCTCTTA